ACATATTGCTCTGCTTTCCTTTGGACCATATCAGCGAGGCCGAGACAGGAGTCTTGTCATCTGGGCAACCCAGGACATCCATACATACCGCCCTTTGAAGTTACTTCAGGGCTGCTACCACAGTGGCTTGACCCCAGAAGGCATGCTCCATTGTGTCTCGAGGCAGACGGATGCCAATAAGCTGAAATTTGTTATGTTTTCTGACTGCCTCGGGACTCATTGTAGGGCAGAAAGGCAAAAATAAAAAAGCATTTTACAATAAAAAACTCTAGCCCCTGGTTATTGTCAAAGTGCTTTAGACTTCCATCTCTCATTCGCTGGATCATCACCTTGTCGTGGTGAGCGGGCTTGCGCGTTCCTATGACCCTTGTGAAAGAAGCCGTTGGGAATCTCGTACTCCCAGCAGGGTCACCCAAGACAAGACGGTAAGGTCAAAGGGAAGGAGCTAGACAAAGAATGATCCAAGAAGTCCTCAACGACAGAACAGGCAGATGATAACAAGTGGTAGGTTACAATGGCTGTGAAGGTGGATGAAGGCTGCAGCAGATAAGAATCTACCGGTCGTCGTGACTACTCATGCCATGGGAACAGAGCCTTACTGCAAAGACTGTGCATTGGTCAGCGTGCAACTCTCCAACTCCTCCAAAGATTCCATCTGCGCAGGCTGAAAGCAAAGAGTAAGGTTACCGTAACTGCCATCCTAGAGCTTCAGTAAGCTGATGACAACGTAGTGTGTGCACGCCCAGAGGATGACCTCCAAACCATTCTAAATATCTTCGCAGAAGCTTATGAAAAGCTTGGCCTATCGCTCAACAACCAAAATACCAAAGTGCTGCACCAACAAGTACAAAATAACCCCTCTGCAGCACCACAAATATAACTCAATGGGGTAACGTTGGAAAATGTTGATCACTTCTCCTACTTGGGCAGTTATCTTTCCACAAGAGCCAACACTGATGCCGAAATCCAGCATCAGCTGAGCTCTGTGAGTGCGGCTTTCTCCTGATTGAAGTGCAGAGTGTTTGAGGACCAGGACATTTGCAGGGAAACCAAAATGCTTGTTTACAAAGCTATTGTACTACTAACCGTACTGTATGCTTGTGAAACATGGACCACTTATAAATGCCATCTCCAACTCCTCGAAAGATTCCATCAACGGTGTCTCCGAAAATTTTTACACATTACTTGGGAAGACAGGCGAACTAATATCAGTGTACTGGAAGAAGCAAAGATCACCAGTGTTAAAGCAATGATTTTTCAACATCAACTTCATTGGACTGGTCATGTTGTGTGGATGCCTGATTGTCTTCCAAAGCAATTACTCTATTCCAAAATTAAAAATGGAAAGCGTAATGCTGGTGGTCAACAAAAGAGGTTTAAAGACTGTCTCAAAAAATGGTTTTGTGACAGAAAAATCCAAATTGGAAACGGAACTGTTAGATACCGATGTTAAAAATCTCTCCAAAATGTACAATTTATTGTTGGAATGGCATACAAAGGATGAACAAGTTAAATCTGTGATGACTGATTGGGCAAGAGATGTTGGACACAATATAATTTTGGAAAATTGGTAAAGGCTGTGGAAGAAAGGGGTTAAGTTTACTGCATGTACAGTACTAAAAGAAAATATTATGAAAACGATGTATAGATGGTACTTAACCCAGGTGAAATTAGCAAAGATATATCATACAAATGATAACCAGTGTTGGAAATGCAAAGAAAAAGGAGGTACCTTTTATCATATGTGGTGGACGTGTCCCAAGGTGAAAGACTTCTGGGAAAAGATTTATAATGAGTTCAAAAAAATGTTGAAAATTACATTTATTAAGAAACCAGAAGCCTAGGAATACTAGGACTGGAATTGCCCCCCAAAGATGCTAGACTGTTTTTGTATGCCACTACAGCGGCAATACTTTTATTAGCCAAAAACTGGAAATCGCAAGAAATACCAACAATAGAAGAATAGCAGATGAAGATGTTGGATTTTTTGGAGCTGGCCGACCTGACTGGAAGAATCTGCAATCAGAAGGAAGAGGAGATACAAGAGGATTGGAAGAAATTTAAAGAATATTTAGCTAAATATTGTAATATAAGATAATTAGAAAATTCTTGGAAGTAATGAATAGGCTTAGGGGCAGAATAAGAATATGTGGTAGTAAATATTAAGGACTAGAATATAAAAAAGAAGAAGAGGTTAGTAAATGAAAGGAGTTAATATTATTAGAAATATGAACTTGGAGAACTGTTATAAAGGTGATATAATGAAATTCAGTTAGAGGGGACTCAAAGAAGTCAGGCATCAATGTGATGAAAGTTGGATATTTGAAGAGATAATCTTTTTTTCTTGTATGTTTAGTTTATTGTAGTGTGGTGGGGTTTTTTTCTTTGTTGTGTATTTTGTTATGTTATTTTTGTGATAAATGTTGAAAATCAATAAAAATTTTGGGGAAAAAATAAAATTAAAGACTGTCTCAAGGCAAATCTAAAAAAATGTAGTATAAACACCAACAATTGGGAAGCACTGGCCTGCGAGCTCTCCAGTTGGAGAACAGCCTTGACCAAAGATGTCATGGGCTTTGAAGACACTCGAACTCAGGACACAAGGGAGAAATGTGCTAAGAGGAAGGCACACTTGGCAAATCCACACCGTGATCAACTCCCACCCGGGAACCAATGTCCCCACTGTGGAAGGACGTGTGGATCCAGAATTGGCCTCCACAGTCACTTACGGACTCATTGTTAAAACCATGTTTATGGAAGACAATCTTACTCAACTACGAGTGATTGCCAAAGAAGAAGAAAGAAGACTTCCATCTTCAATCATCTGAGCCCCTTCTTTGTGTGCCACCTCAAGAACTCTTGATGGTGGCAGCAGGAGAACAATCTTTTCCTGCAATGGCTCCCCATTTGTGGAATGCTCTCCACAATGGTGTCTTATTTACATATCTTTAGGCACTGGGCATTCCTATTCTTCCAGTCCTTTGGCTTATTAAACAACCTAAGGCCTTTTAAATGTGCCTGGGCAGGGTGTGTTGTCATTCTGTTTGTTAGCTACTGTTTTGGATTTTGTGCTTTTACGCTGTGAACCATCCTGTGATCTTCAGATGAAGGACAATTCAACAAATACAGTGGTACCTCACAAGACGAATGCCTCACAAGACAAAAAACTCGCTAGACGAAAGGGTTTTTTGTTTTTTGAGCTGCTTCGCAAGACGATTTTCCCTATGGGCTTGCTTCGCAAGACGGAAACGTCTTGCAAGTTTGTTTCCTTTTTCTTAACACCGTTAATACAGTTGTGACTTGACTTCGAGAAGCAATTCATAGAACGTGGTGTGGTAACCTTTTTTGAGGTTTTTAAAGACTTTGGTGATTTTTGAAGCTTTTCCAAAACTTTCCCGACACCGTGCTTCGCGAGACGAAAAAAATCGCAAGACGACAAAACTCGCAGAACGAATTAATTTCGTCTTGTGAGGCACCACTGTAATAATAATAATAGTTCAGTATTTCCCCCTGATTTTGTTGCTAATGTCTACAGTCACTTTGTCGCAGGCTACTGAAGAAGTGAACATGAGGGGCAAGTATTTCAAACATGTTAATGACCCAACAGCAGGGCCGGCCCACCTGTCAGGCAAGGTGAGGCAACTGCCTCGGGTGGTGGATCCTGATGTTGTTGTTTAGTCATGTCCAACTCTTTGTGACCCCATGGACCAGAGCACGCCAGGCACTTCTGTCTTCCACTACTTCCCACAGTTTGGTCAAACTCATGCTGGTAGCTTCGAGAACACTGTCCAACCATCTCGTCCTCTGTCGTCCCCTTCTCCTTGTGCCCTCCATCTTTCCCAACATCAGGGTCTTTTCCAGGGAGTCTTCTCTCCTCATGAGGTAGCCAAAGTATTGGAGCCTCAGCTTCACATCTGTCCTTCCAGTGAGCACTCAGGGCTGATTTCCTTCAGAATGGAGAGGTTACAAATAATCATAATAGTTCAGTATTTCCCCCTGATTTTATTGCTAATACAGTGGTGCCTCGCAAGACGAAAATAATCCGTTCCGCGAGACTCTTCGTCTAGCGGTTTTTTCGTCTGGCGAAGCAACCCTATTAGCAGCTTAGCGCTATTAGCGGCTATTAAAAGCTTAGCGGCTAAAAGGCTATTAGCGGCTTAGAAAAAAGGGGGGGAGCGAAAAAAAAATCGTTTTCGTCTTGCGAAGCAAGCCCATAGGGAAAATTGTCTTGCGAAGCAACTCAAAAACGGAAAACCCTTTCGTCTAGCGGGTTTTTCGTCTTGCGAGGCATTCGTCTTGCGGGGCACCACTGTATCTACAGTCACTTTGTCTCAGGCTACTGAAGAAGTGAACAAGAGGGGCAAGTATTTCAAATGTGTTAACAACCAACAGCAGGGCCGGCCCACCTGTCAGGCAAGGTGTGGCAACTGCCTTGGGTGGCGGATCCTGATGTAGATCACAGAATCCTAAGGTGAAAAGGGACCCTGGGGGTCACCATCACCCTTGTTCCTGACATCTTCTCCACTCAACCTTTCTTCCCTCAGAGAGAGAGAGAGAAGGGAGAGGAGGCGGCATTTTGTGGTTCGCCTCAGGCGCCAAAAAGGCCTCGGGGTTCACCTCAGGCACCAAAATGCCTCAGGCCGACCTGGCCAACAAGCAAGCACGCCTTAAGTTTCCCTCACGCTCAGAGGCTGCTTTTCTTTCTTTCTAACGCGCAAAAAAGAGGCGCCGGAGCCCTGGAAGAACAGCAGGTGCAGGCGACGGGCGAGGCCGCCTCAGCGCGGGCCCCGCCTCTACGCGAGGCTCGGCGGCCGGCCTGTGTTCCCCGAAGCCCACGTCGCGCAAAAGCAGCCGGAGGAGGAGGAGCAGCGGCGGCGGCGGCGGCGCTGAGGAGACCCGGCTGCTCGCCGCCGGCAGCTGCTGGAGCCGCCCAGCCGCCGCCATGAACTCCAGCAACCGCACCGAGAGCGACTGGCAGGGGCTGGTGAGCGAGGTGAGAGGGGGTGAAGGAACGAGGCCTGCCGCGGACTGGAGCTGCCTTTTCCCGCCATTTCCCCCCAAACAGGCCTGCAAAAAACCCGCCTTGCTGGTGCAATGGGGCTTTCCTGCCAGCCGGCACCGCGTCGCCCATCCCTCTCCTTCCTGGCGTTTCCGGCAGCCTGCTGTGCATATATATGCGATCTACAGTCGGAGCGGCTTGCTTCCCTTTCCTCTCTTTAGTGCAATTAAGGTTTGCAGCCCCACTTCCCCCGATGCGTGTTTACTGTCACTTGTGAATCCACCCCCCCCCAGTTAAGCGTGCATAAGGGTTGCAGTGGTGGGGGATTTTTTTGGAGGGGGGCGTCTGGGGCAAACGACCTCCCTGGCCCGCCAAAGCAGCTGGGCTAAGCTCAAAACTTGCCTCAGTTTTCCCAGGTGTGGCCGATGCTAAAAGCTGGATGGTTGCGTGTCACCGCAGGGATGGTTGGCACTTGTTGCTTGGAGGGGTATGACGGGTGTTACCTGTATGTCACTTTGGGGGTGAGGGGTTCAGGAGCAGGGTATATATCTTGCCTTATTCCTGTTAAGCTGAAAGCAGCAAACTTTTGCTATTCCTATCTCCCCATTTTTATTTATTTTTTACTTAGTAGAGAGACCTTGTGAGTCAGGAATTCCCCAAAATGAGTTGCCAGTTCTTGGGGTGCGATCAGAGGTTTCTGCAGTGCTACTCACTCAACACCAACTTTTTTGGTGAATGGGAGGGCTGCAGGTGTTCGGATAAAAGTCTAAATGAAGTCCGTGAATATGCAACCATATGCTCCTAGATTCGTCACCATATCCAAGTAAATATATTTAGGTTGGGGGTGGACATGCACCACGATCCAGACGGATGCCAAGGGATTTTGCTGTCATTCTCCGCCTGTTGTCAGGCAATGTCCCCTACTCAGCAGGGTATAAATAAATTATTATTATTATTATTATTATTATTGCATGCTGATAGGATCTGTCCATCTCCCATCAGGCTTCGTCTTCTTGATTCTTGCCCTCAAAAGACCTGGCCACTCTGGGCCAAACCAGATTTAATGTCCATTGCATGATTGCAACTAATGTGCTGTTGCTGTTGTTTTTTTAAATGTAAGTAGGCAGCTTATAGGGACGCGGGTGGCGCTGTGGGTAAAAGCCTCAGCGCCTAGGGCTTGCCGATCGAAAGGTCGGCGGTTCGAATCCCCGTGGGGGGGTGCGCTCCCGCTGCTCGGTCCCAGCGCCTGCCAACCTAGCAGTTCGAAAGCACCCCCGAGTGCAAGTAGATAAATAGGGACCGCTTACTAGCGGGAAGGTAAACGGCGTTTCCGTGTGCGGCTCTGGCTCGCCAGATGCAGCTTTGTCACACTGGCCACGTGACCCGGAAGTGTCTGCGGACAGCGCTGGCCCCCGGCCTCTTGAGTGAGATGGGCGCACAACCCCAGAGTCTGTCAAGACTGGCCCCTACGGGCAGGGGTACCTTTACCTTTACCTTTAGGCAGCTTATGCTATATCTGCATAGCATATTTGCCCTGTGAAGGCTTCCCTCCTCATGTAAGTTGCAGCTTCAGGGGAATAATTATTATAGAGACCACAATAGGTGAGACTAATGGGTTAAATTCTCCTCCACCCCCTGTGATTCTGTTGCTGCCCCCCCCCTTTTCTGTTTTCCATTTTTAACTTGTGCCTATTAATTCATTCAGTTGTCAACTTACTGTTTTTCTTCTGGCTAGGATTCTGTGTGTTTTTAACAGAATCTTTTTTGGTTGAATATGAGCCAATGATTTCCTTGTTAGAGGGAAGGCAAAATGACACATTCACCTGCTAAATTTTGGCTACCCTGTGGCTTTTCAATGTACAAGAGGAGAAAAAAAGAATTTTGCAATCCTACTGCAATAATTGCCGCTGTAAACTTCATAAAAAGACCAGAGGTGATTGAAGTGTTGTTGGAACTAGTCAACTTTGGCAAACACTGACTAGTGTTTGCCACAGTATCTCAAAATGGCTGCTTCCCTAGGATTCAATTCTCTGCTGATGTTCTCAATAACATCTTCCTTCTGTAGTCATAGAACACTTTGATTCCTATATTATTGTACCAACATCTCACACCCACAGCTGAGTAACACAGCCAGACTCTAAGAAAGAGTGTCAATCAAAGTGTAAGTAAGCTCTCTAAGCAGCCGTTGGGTCAGCAACTCTTCTATAAAGTGGATATTGCTGTCCATGGTTCTTTTCACTTCCATGATATTCATATTAATTTGGGCTTGGTTTGGGGTCCTAAACAAATGCCAGGCAGCTGTGCTTTCTTTCAACCCCAATCTTACTCCCTGCCCTTCCATTAGCATTCCTCATGCCATGTTGCTTCTGCTCTGAGAAAATGTTTCCAAGAAATGACGGGAAATGTTAGCACAGGCAGTTATTGGCAATTATAAATGATTATGGTCACATATGGAGTAAGGTAAAGGGACCCCTGACCATTAGGTCCAGTCGTGGCCGACTCTGGGGTTGCGGCGCTCATCTCGCTTTATTGGCCAAGGGAGCTGGCGTACAGCTTCCGGGCCATGTGGCCAGCATGACTAAGCCGCTTCTGGCGAACCACAGCAGCGTACGGAAATGCCGTTTACCTTCCCACCGGAGCAGTACCTATTTATCTACTTGCACTTTGAGGTGCTTTTGAACTGCTAGGTTGGCAGGAGCTGGGACCAAGCAACGGGAGTTCACCCCGTCGCGGGGATTTGAACTGCCGACCTTCTGATCGGCAAGTCCTAGGCTCTGTGGTTTAACCCACAGCGCCACCCGCGTCCCTTCACATATGGAGTAAAAAGGTAATGGTACCCCTGCCTGTACGGGCCAGTCTTGCCAGACTCTGGGGTTGTGCGCCCATCTCACTCTATAGGCCGAGGGCCAGCGCTGTCCGCAGACACTTCCGGGTCACGTGGCCAGCATGACAAGCTGCATCTGGCGAGCCAGCGCAGCACACGGAACGCCGTTTACCTTCCCGCTAGTAAGCGGTCCCTATTTATCTACTTGCACCCGGGGGTGCTTTCGAACTGCTAGGTTGGCAGGCGCTGGGACCGAGCAACGGGAGCGCACCCCGCCGCGGGGATTCGAACCGCCGACCTTTCGATCGGCAAGTCCTAGGCGCTGAGGCTTTAACCCACAGCGCCACCCGCGTCCCCACATATGGAGTACCAGCATTCTAATACTTAGAATCATAGAATGGAATCCCAAGGGCCTTCCAGCCCCCTGCAATGCCGGAATAAAACAACAACAACTAATGTATGTGGCAAAAAATGGTAGTGGTATTAAATGTTTTGTGGTGCAGAAGGATGGTGACCTTATGAGACCAAGATGAAGACCACCTACAAGAGACTCCCTCCCCTTCCATTTTCTGTGAAGCTTTGTTCTAACTAGGGATGTGCTATGGTCTAAACCACTGAGCCTATTGGACATGCCAATCAGAAGGTTGGCAGTTTGAATCCGTGTGACAGGGTCAGCTCCTGTTGCTCTGTCCCAGCTTCTGCCAACCTAGCAGTTTGAAAGCATACCAGTGCAAGTAGATAAAAATGTACAGCTGCAGCAGGAAGGTAAATGGCATTTTCGTGTGCTTTGGCACTCATCATGCTTTGGCACTCATCATGGTGCACAGGCACCGGTAGTGGTTTAGTCATGCTGGCTACGTGACCAGGAATGTCTGTGGACAAAGGCTGGCTCCCTCGGCCCGAAAAGCGAAATGAGCGCCACACCCTTTGACTGGACTCAGCCGTCCAGGGGTCCTTTACCTTTTACCTTTACAACTTCTCACTCTGGTGTGACAGTTCAGTGTGCTCTGGTCTCCACATACCAGAGGATGAAGTAGGAAAGCGGACTGCCTTCATGTGTTGACCATGAGGATAGGGTAACTGCTGGTGGGAAGTTAAATATTTAAACATTTCTTGGGGGGGGGATTTCTGTTAGAAAAGCAACAATACACCATGAATTTGGGTGTGTATTTTCAAATAGGCCTTGCAATCTTGGCCATGATTTGTGTAAGATGCTCTTTGACTCTAAAGGCCCCAAATCTTGAACCTATGCAAAATGTAGGACTAATAACCTGTTCAAGATGCACTTTTGGTTGTGAGGGCTGGAAAGTAAATAGAGATGTTATTAGCAGCAGGTGATAGAAAGGGAGAAGAAATGGTCTTTCCTTCTCTTTGCCTCCCCAGCCCTTGCAAATCCACAATATTTTGCTCATCCTCACTTGTGGTGCTCAGTTATGTACATTATATACATAGCAAAAAAAGAAGAAGCGAGGATAGGAACTGAGATGGAAAACTGGAACTGCACATATTTATTGGGTTTCTTTACCTATTGGAAACTTTGGGTCCATAAAATAAAGACGTAAAGACTTACCAATGTTTATTCAGAAGTAAGTCTTGCTGTGTTTAATGGGACATAACACCCAAGTAAGTGTGCACAGGGTTACATGGGAATAAACTCAGTGGTGCTAATTGGGATTTATTCCTGAATAAATGTGCATAAGATCCTGCTGCCAGTTTCTCCCCACTACCTGTGTTCCTGTCTATTTGTACTGCTGGTCTAAAGACCTGGCACTTGATGTCACTGTGATAAAGCAAACCTTCCTGGAAACCAGCTCTGAAACCTGTTTTGCACTGGATGATTGGATTTTATGGGCTCTTTGAGGAAATGGTTCTTGTTTAAAGCTTAGATCTGCAGCTGCTTCTTAAGAAAACGCCACACAAGGTTTCATATGCACTCACCTGTCAGCAGGGTTAGAAGCAATGGTTCAAATGATTCAATATAGTAAAAGCTACAATCCTCCTCAGCTTACACAGTACAGTAGATGTTTATCACAGACATCTTCCGAGCACTATTTCACACACTATGTTGCATAAAATCTGGATTTGCCACCAAATGGCCTCTGCCTGTCTGTCTGATGAATATTCGCATGCAAGACATGTGTATGGAAACATTTGCTTCTCACATTCAAATGTGACATTTTTAAACGAGCACGGGGTTTTTGTTTTGTTTTTTTAAGTGTGATGCAAACCTTAAATGGGGTACGAGTGAGGAAAGGGCTGCTTTACAGATGGCTAACACTCAACTCTTGTTCCGTGATAACACAAATACAGTACAGTACCGTATCTGTAAAGTTCCCTTGTGGTTTAAAGGGCTGCCCTAAAGGGGATGAATTGGTGCTGGAGGACATCAATGCTCACAAGTTAGTTTAGACACACCTACCCAAAAAAATTCCCCATGTATCTACCTATTATTACCTCATGTCAACAAACATTCAGTGATTCTTAGCTTGCACATTAAACCGCAAGTCACCAAGGGTTAAGTGAACATGTGGTTTACGTCCATGTGTGAACCAGTCCTTAGCCATTCTGATATTAAAACTTTGAAAGCATTGCATTCTTTTTGGCTGCTTAGGATTATTATTGCCCAGGTATTTGCATACGAGAATAAAATAGTGACAAATTCTCAGTACATAGCAGGAAGTAGATAGGGAATGTGTAGCAAGGAGTGGCTTTGTATTCCACATCCTTACAGCTAGTTTAGCTTCTATTATCTTTCTTTCTTTCTTTCTTTCTTTCTTTCTTTCTTTCTTTCTTTCTTTCGACTGCCCTTCATCAGAAAATATCAGGGTGGTTTGCAGAATAAAATACATAATTTTTAAAAAGGAAATAAGTAAAACAAAACAGCAAACAACTGCTGCCTTTATTAGGTTCTGAGGGTCCTGAAACGTCAGCTTTTCTGTACATTTGATTTCAGACAAGCTGATACAAGGAGAAGACAGAGACAGGTGACTGACTGTGTGTGTGTGTGTGTGTGTGTGAGAGAGAGAGAGAGAGAGAGAGAGAGAGAGAGAGAAAGGAGTCCACAGGTGACAGAAAGAAGGAGGAATCTGTATGAAAGGGAGAGGATCTCATTAGTTAATCTTAATTAAATTAATATGCAAATCCTTTATTTTAATGGGACTTACTCTTAAATAAATATGCCACTTTAATATTTCAGTGTTGATTTGGAATGAAAATTAATTTTATTTAGTTGAATGATAAAATGGCAAGATTTTGCAAACTGAAAGGGGGGAAAAACTTGTTTTGGAACTACAGCCGTATGGTGTTTGAATGTGGAAGAATTGGGGATTTCCTCAAAGCATTATACAGCTAACGGGCAAGAAAGAACAACTGCCACCTACAGTATACTAGGTTCCGAGGGTGATAAGTGCTGCTAACTTTGATTTCAGGCCTGCTGATGTTAGAAGTGAGCAAGAGTCACAGAGAAGTGAATCGAAGGTGGCAGAGAAGGTGATAATAAGGTGGAAGAAAGTGAGGAAAGGAAAATGTGATGGAGGCAGGCAATAATGAACAGGTGAAATGAAGTAGAAGGAAGAAAGTATAGAAAAGTTTGAGAAGGTAAAGAGAATGGAGAGAGAAAGGGTTGTGAAAGATGGTGAGATGGGAGTAAGTGATAACAGAGGAGGAACTGGGAGGTGCAAGGAAGAGGCAAAGAGAATGTGGGAGGTAAGAAGAGAGAAAAACAAAGGCAAGACAGTTGATGCAGGACTAGAAGGTGGGGAGAGAAAAAGACGGAAGCAGGTGGCAGAGACAGGAGCTGGTGAAATTGATAGGCCTTTTTGGTAACAAAACACAAGCATAAATAGCAATGGTGATTTGCCCTCTTTCTCAATATCAACCACAGGAAGAGAAGAGCCCCAGAAATAAAAGAGAAGCTATATGTATTAAAAGGGTTCGAAAGGTTTGCCCAACAGTACGTGAAATATTGGTTCACTTGCATTTAGAAAAATTGTATGCCACTACCTCTGTGTAATAGGTGGTGGGATGCTAGTACTATTAAGTATAAATCAAATGTGAAAATGTAAAAGTGAGTCCTGTGTGCCTGGCAAGAAATATATGGTGCACCTTGAGTCTAGACTGGTTGAAGACCACTGCTCTAAATGAAGATGGGCCAAAGCTGATAAGTGACACCGTAATCTGAATTTCCGAAGTTTATAATGGTGTGTCTTTCACTTTTTAGATTTCCCCTCTCCAATAACTTGACAAATGTCCTGGCATTATCAGATTATGAGGTCATTTCTGTTCAGGAGTTAATGAGATCAAAGCGGATTTGGCACTAAAAATAGCTATGGACAAACAGGGACCATTTGATGGAGAGGAGAGCTGTTTCACCTCTCTGTAATGTTGTCTTTCTCATCCTGTTTTGTTTAAAGCAGTTAGGAGGCAGTAAGACAGTTCAAGCAGTAATGTATTATATCAGTCTTTACTTAATATGATCTTGTAGCGATCATAGTCCACTTACGATGGTAAATTAGTGGTAGATAAAAGTCAGTGGACAGCAATGAAAATTATTATTTTGAAGGTATTTAGAACAAGAGAAAAGCAGATGAAATTTGAATCTAACAACTGTTTAATGAAAGCATTAAATAGTTCATTTTCGCAAAAATTCATGAAGGTGTATTCAGAAGATTCACTTTTTAAAAAATACCTAAAAACAAATAGCAGAAGCTATAACCATCTGCAGTAAATGGTGGCTCTCTTTTTTTAAAAAAAGAAATAAAATAAAAGTGGTTATTTGCGTCTTAAAAGCAAAAAAACCCCACTGTATTTTAAAAGCAGTAGCATCATTTGCACATCATGGTAAGCTGCAGTTGATGGCTCCCACTTTATTTGTTTCATACAATTTTTTTACTGCTTGATTGTAGAAAACCTTCAAAGCAGTTTTTCCACACTTCTCTCCTAGTGCAAGTGGGAGAAACAAAGCATAAACCCTGACTTAATGTTTCAGACTTAACTGGGATTCATGCTTGGTTGTGATTTGCTTGGAGCTGAACAAACCACAGTCCTCAGTTTAAATGTAAATCTGAGCCAGGGTTCGTGATTGTTTTCCCCACTCAGTCTAGGGGAATTGTTCTTGGCATACCAGTTGTGGTTTGTTTGACTGAAAGAAACCAGGATACCTGGTTTGGATTTAATGCTAAACCAGGGATTGTGGTTTATTTGATCCCACTTGTGCTTGAAGAGAAGTTGGAGCAATCACCACATACACAGCGAACCATTAACTCTTGAAGTAGTAACAAGGTCTCCACAACCATATTTATTATCTGCCTATCTGCAAGTTTCATTGTTGTGTTTGGTTACTCGGAGTATGAAATGAGGCTTGTGTTTCCATTTCCGTTTCCTCTTTAGCCCTGACCATAGTACCGTAAGCTGTAGCATCCACATTGGCAAATCATAGTTAGTATTTGCCTTCCAAATCAAAATAAAAAACTGTTTGAAATGGGTTTTTGATTTGGTTTTGGAGAATAAGTGCCAACTGGAGTTTGCCAATCCAAACTTAATGACTAATTATGTTTAGGGCTAAGGAAACCAAAACAGAGTTCCTGGATCTGTTATGTCTAGCATTCCATTTCTCCATGTTAAAGATTGGAGCTGAGGCTGACTTACTTGCTTAAGGATACCGTCTAAGCTTGAACTGGGGCCTTGTAGCTCAGACTCTTAATCGCTTTAGCATATAGCAGTTTCCTATCCAGAGTTCATCATTATTCCAGGTTCCAATGTCATTTCAATGGTGCATAAAAAGCTACAGATTCCAGATGCCTTTTTAATCAGGGAATTGGCCACTCTTAAAGTGTCACTATATGGATAAGAACAATAATGTTGCTTTATTGAGGGTAGTGCCAAGGCATCATAACCCAGAAGGTTTATGGCAGAAATTCAACTTTGCTGCTGCCAGTAATAAAATTAATCCAAGGTGGAGGTGTCCTCTTCAGAGTTCATTACCCTAGAATGATTTCTCCTTCCCTTTAAAGGGCTCTTGAAAGGATGCATTTGCTACTTTTGGGTACCACTCAATGCATTATTATTTCTTCATGACCTGCAGGTATATTAATGCACCTTGACCAATAGAAATAAGGGCTGTAAGGTTCAAGAAAGCCCTTCTCTACATTTCCCCCAGTCTTCAAAAAAGGAGCAGAGCAAAAGGGGTCTTTTGATTGCAGACCAAGTGTGAACAGAAAGAAATTCTGCAGCTTTTTACACATATGAAACACTAAAGCACATTACATATTTTAGGTGCATATAAATGTCCTTTTTAAAGGGATGTGCCTAAAAACCTCACATGTGAGTAAGATTATATTGCATTTGGAAGGCTGTAATGGAGTTTGTGAGTAGCTAGTAGAAAAAATATTGGGCTTTGTTGGGTAAAAGGGTGTCATCAAAATGGAGGGAATAGGATAGCTTTTTTTACTTTTATAGAGTAGTGAAAGAAAATGCATCTCTGCTAGCTGAATTAAGCACTCTGTGGTCTGATACTTCAATTATGTGTGTGTTTACGAAGAAGTAATTCCCATTATGTTCAGTGGGGCTTTCTCCGATGTAGGTACGTATAGGATCACAGCCTAACTACAATCCTCAGTATGTTTATGTACTTAGAAATAAATCTATTTTCAAGAATGTGGGCACAGGATTACATCCTAAAGGTTGTAATGTTAACCCAGAAACTGGCACAGCCCATAGTTCCTTTAAAGCAGCTTAAACGTGTGTGCCCGCCCCTGCCTTTAAAGTAGCGCTTTTGCACAATGCACCAGTCTGGTTGGTTTGGTTTGGTATTCTTTTGTTTTGTTTTCAAGCGGCACGTACAAACTTTTTGCCTTGACTTTCATGCAGTATTTGGTGTGTAAAAGGAAGCTGGAAAGTAAGAAGGAAGCACTGCTAATTCTTTCCAAAGAGCTGGACACATGTCAGCAAGAGAGAGACCAGTACAAGCTTATGGCTAATCAGCTACGGGAGAAGCACCAATCACTGAAAAAGAAATACCGGGAACTGATTGTATGTAACTGGTTTGATAACTTTCTGTTAATATCTGCTTATATTAAATCTTTGGCTTCTTGTAATGCATTGTGCATTATTAATCATTTCCTTGTAATCCTTTTAGTTCTGTGTTCATGATGCTGTTTTTGTTCATTTTTGTTCATTTTTATTTAATTCATAATTATGTATTCACTACTATTTAAAGGACAAATAGAAACAGCTTCGACCTTACAGTCTAAACCTCTTAGTGCTTTGATTGCAGTACTGCAGTGCTTCATTAAATTACTTTTTCAAGCAAACTAGGTTACTTTATAAAGTCCTGTTATTTTTCCAGTGACATGTAAACTCCCTTCTTGTAGGACGGGGACCCATCTCTTCCTCCTGAAAAGAGAAAGCAGGTAGGTTTCATTTCTGCTTGCATGCACATATAATTTACTGCTCTATGTCATTGGTTGTTTGTTTTTTTAAAAAAAAATATATTGCTAAACTATGTTATTTTGATTCCACTAATTCATTTACAGTGGTACCTCGGGTTACAAACACCTTGGGTTACAAACACTTCGGGTTATAGACTCCACTAACCTGGAAGTAGTACCTCAGATTAACAACTTTGCTCCAGGATGAGAACAGAAACCATGCTCTGGCTGGAGCGGGAGGCCCCATTAGCCAAAGTGGTACCTCAGGTTAAGAATGATTTCAGGTTAAGAACGGACCTCAGGAACAAATTAAGTTCATAACCAGAGGTACCACTGTACTCACTTTATACAGTGGTACCTCGGGTTAAGTACTTAATTTGTTCCGGAGGTCCGTTCTTAACCTGAAACTGTTCTTAACCTGAAGCACCACTTTAGCTAATGGGGCCTCCTGCTGCCGCCAGAGCACGATTTCTGTTCTCATCCTGAAGCAAAGTTCTTAATTTGAAGCACTATTTCTGGGTTAGCGGAGTCTGTAACCTGAAGCGTATGTAACCCAAGGTATCACTGTACTAGGTTCCCAAGTCATGGTCCATAAACCGTCATTGGTTTGCAGGTGTCAATCAGGTGGTCCACAGCGTATTCACATTAAATATTCATACTGACTTTTATTGCTTCTTTTATTTCTCATATTGTATTATTGTTACAATTTGATTTCCACAGAATTCAAATTGTAATACAATAAAACACGTTAAAAGAAGCAATAAACATACAATTAAAAACCACACAGCGTCTAGTGCAGTGCATTACAGTTGCTAGAACAAGAAGAAAAATCATTAAATGGTCCGCCTTAGTACTTTTCAAGCACTCTGCCAGGAAAAAAGTTGGGAACCACTGGTCTAGTAAAAGAGAAATTCTGAATCGGGTTTGCCACAATCTAAACTGTAACTAACAAGTAGTGCAAACACTTCTATCAACAATGAGAGGGAAATTGAAGGTGCCCTCTGTTGAAGCAGATTAGAGGATAGCAGTTGCATATTGTCAGTACTTTGGGCATACTAGAATTAGTAGGTCAACAGTTTTCAGTGTCTTCATTCCCAATCCCTCCCCCATAAAACCCAAACATTGTGATGGAAAGGAATGCTTTGGGTTGTCACGTCTTTAAAATATTTAAAAGCATTCCATTTGAAAATAATTTTCAAGTAAAGCTTTGAATTCATTTGACTATAATATTTTCAACTAGAAAGGCCCACGCAGGTTAATCAACAGTGGCTTATAGGGCTAAGGAGAATTTGTTGTGCCACAAATTCCCTCCTCCGTTTTTTATCATGTGCCTTAATGCAAGAGTGTTTGTTAAAGCCACAATTTTTCATTGGGTCTAGGAAAGAGAAGGACAAGTTGTGTCATAACTGAAAATTGTGGTTTAAGTTCCAGTAACAATTCTGGCTTGCAAACTAAGATCGAACCGTGGTTTCCAATTTTGGTTTGTCAGAGCTTAATAATAATAATAATAATATTTTTTTATTTATACCCCGCCCTCCCCAGCCAAGGCCGGGCTCAGAGCGGCTTACAAGCAATAATAAAAACAAGAAGAATGATTACAACTTAAAAACAAAAATAAAATACAACATTAAAATAATGGAACATTAAAATATTAAAATGTAGCCTCATTGCAGGTTAGACCGCAGTTTCCTAATTCAGAATGGTATCTCCCTATACCAATGAATCTTTCTCCAGCTTCTGGATTGCAATACCAATTAGAGTTTGGGAAAGCAATAGCTTCTGGCCAGCAGGAAGGGGCAGAAAAATAATTTGCAGCCTGTTTTTATCTGGGGCACTGAGGATGTGTTGGAACTGGGCACGCAGAAGATGAAGCACACCTAGGTGCTGGCAGTTGGATTTAGAGTTGCTTTCTACCATGGGGATGTCTATTTTTATTTATACACCGCTTGCTTGTAAAACAAAAACCACCCAAGTGGCTTACAACAAATAAAACAGTAAAATCAAGAAAAAAGTCACAACCCTATTTAAAACATACAGCAGTTAAAATACTAAAACAGATAAAAATTACCCAAACTTTCTAAGCATCAGGTCGGTTTAGAAGCTGCTCTGCTTGCATATATGTAAATACAGTAAAGCAAATAGCTATGGTGTCCTTACAAACACCCTAGGTGCTCCATCAAAGGAGGCCCTGGAGCACATCATTGTTCCAGGAAGTGGGGAATGCAGAACAATATCTTGGATCTATCCTCACTTTCATTCCTTTTTTAATTCTAGACTTAAAACATTCTTAGAAGTGTTCAAAGCTGGAAACTTGTTTTACAAAACTCTGCCTGGTTCTTCTGACTATGCACCACCTCCCTAGTATTAGGAATATGTTGTTTGGGCACTTCGTTAAACGAAGTGTTAGTATTTCTCTGGTGAATCATATTTATTATAAAATCTGATGGTGAGCTTACTTTCCCTCCAATACACATTGGTTTGATTGTGCATTTTGTTGGAAATATCCTTGCTAGAGCTCCAAAAGCATTTTATTTGCGTGGAAAGACTGTGACAGGTCTCCTTCATCACTTGAAAATTAATGCATGAAAGTTTGTTTCTACAACAAAAATGTAACGCTAGCAGATATCATCAATTTTTGTGGTTGGTGTTGAGCTCCCAGATCTCTTACTAAGCAAAGCAGGTTTTACTGCATTAAGTTGGGTGCCACAATCATACAAAACCATTGAAGTAGAAATTGCAATAAAAATTGCTATCAATCACACTTCTGAAGTGTACTTGATGTTTCATCAGATTTTTCTACCTGTTCTCCTTTATTCCAGTTGTCTAACTTGAGCTGTGAGCTTAAACACTGGAAAATAATTTAAGCTTCTAAGAGACTTGAGCTTGGTTTGAACATTTCTGTCTAAATGGCTTTCGTACTGTTGTCTCTCACGTTTGCCCCTCTTGTTCCCCCCTTCATCCAAAAACCTACTTTACAGGGCATGGCTGTGGGATGGGATAACAACTTCTGTGCGCTAACTACCATTTATCTGCAGAGGACTGAAGGGTGTATTAAGTTTGTTACTATCCACCCTTCAATGGTCTGAAGCAAAGTAACTTGTGGCAGGATTTCAAAAGCTGTCTTACGGAAATCGAATTTTAGGGTAGTGGGTGCTTTAGGGAGAATGTTACTTCGGTTACTGGCTTTTTTCCACTTGGGTTGGGTAATGAGAGAATGAATCAAATTGCCATATGGCAAGGGTACTTTGGTTTATTTTGGTTTACCCCTCCCCAAAGTCTTCTGTTCATTGTGCTGACCGAAAAACCTTACTTTTGAAGCTTTATGTCATGGGAGCCCTGGGGGGGAAATACTACCCAGGTTGAAGCTGGTTCTGCTTATGTAAAGAGGCTTTCAAAGAGCAACTGCTGCAGATGGCTCCATAGGTCCTCTTGCTTTTGGCAGCTTTTGTCCTGGTGACATTTTTGTTTGTGAAGGAACCCCTCCCGTGTTCATCAGTATACAGTCGTACCTTGGAAGTCGAACGGAATCCATTTTGGAAGTCTGTTCAACTTCCGAAACATTCGGAAACCAAAGCGCGGCTTCTGATTGGCTGCAGGACCAATCAGAAGCCGCGACGGACATTCGGCTTCTGAAAATTGTTTGAAAACCAGAACATTCACTTCTGGGTTTCAATCATTTGGGACCTGATTTGTTCGGGAGCCGTGGTGTTTGAGTTCCAAGGTACGACTGTACTAACACTTTATACTGTTTCATTGGTAAGAGAAAAAATGGTGATTACTCATATTTAATATAAACACAACTACAAGCGCCCTTGATTAGGCTTTTTATCTATGTGATATTGAATGATATCTTAATTTTCTTCTGTCCTGTTTCCTTGATGTTACTGTTTTTATTTAAACCACTCCATGAACCAAGAACTTGTACATTGAATGCTAATAATGAACCATAAGTTGTAGATCCCACTGCAAATTTATTGTGCTATTTTGGTGATGTACAAATGACATGCGAATCTTGTGGAATCCCATAGAACTGTAGAGTGGGAATCTAGCTCAACCCCTGGCAATCCAGGAATCCTGCCCACAGCTGTCTCTGGTTATCATTTATTACTCCTATGATCCCTGCTTAGAAAGCCCAATAAAAAGTTACTGAAATAAAAATAAATAAAAAATAAAGGAAATGAAGGTTTTGCAGATGTGTCAGTGGATAGCTGTTTCAATGCTGCGCCAAACCATAGTTTAATGTGCTGTCCAAAAAATGGAACAAGGCTTGGCAAGCGATGGTTTTATGCACTCCTCTTTCCTCTCCCCCCGCATGGCTAAGAGGGAGGTGTTTGGAATTTTCATTTTCCAGTTTTGTATAGTACACCTTGTTTCATCTGAACTGACTGACTGGTTAGTAACGATGGTTTGTTTGAATCAAGCCAACTTGAAGCCATGGTTGAAGTTCCCATTGACTCCTGTGGGTGCTTTCCCCTTTGGAACCATAGCAGGAATTGTGTCACATTAGGTAGCTCCTTTGTCAAAGCAGTTTCCAGGAAGTTATAATAGACATTCTAAGGGAAAGCAACAGACAAATAGGTCTTCCACCATCTATTATTTGTAAATAGGTGTATGTGATAACTTTTCTAAATAACAGATTTGTGACTTTCTTGCAGAGTTAATAACAGCTCTTCATACTTACTGCCAGCAATTGTTTATAAATGATAATAGGTTGACTAAATAACTACAGCTGAAAAGAAAATGGCTGTAAATACAACTCCATCCTTTCATTTCTTGAATGAACACTGGCTAGCATACAGCTTCCATTTTTGGTAACCATGGCTAGCTCCAAAGCAATAGAGGTTAGAAGCAGTTTGCAAAACCATGGTTAGCAAATCAGCAGTGCAGATGGTTCAAAACCATGGTTAGCAAATCACCAGTGCAGATGGTTCACTCTGAAAATGAGAAAGTGGCTGAGATTTGCATGAGAAGCAAAAAGCTGTATAGTAGTCCTCGTACTTCCACTTGTATCAGAATTTGCACAAGTTGTTCTTTTCTTACACAATGCTCTAGGAGGCAGAAGATGCCTTTTGCATGTAACAAGGCACGTTTGGCTCCAACCCAGTGAGCGAGAGCTGTGCAAGAACGTGTTTAATGTTCTTGTGCAGCTCCCATTCACTTCAGGGAGCTTTGCCCAGGCTAAATTCCCATTGGATTGCACCAGTTGATAAGGTGCACTTGTAAGTGAGTGACGATGTAAATCATATTTCTTTTCATAAACTTCCTCATCTTAATTATGGCCTTGTGATATTTAACCACTGGTCTCAATCCCTTGTAGTAAACAAAGTGTGGCAGGATTTTTTCCCTGTGGTATCAAACGATATTTGTGCTGCCATCTGTCTTTGTTTATGTACAAGGTTTATGTGCACACATGGTTGATTTATTTTATTTTTTGCAGTAATTTTAGTTATAGGAATGATGCTTTTTGGCCTAATGAAGCGTTTGGTTCCCCTCGCCACCAGTCAAACTATATACAAATGTCGCACTGCATAAAGCTTAATGATTTTTCTCAGTCACATCTTCATAATCCAGCTTTTGACTCACTCTTGTTTGATGAAACTTTGCAATTTTCCTAGGCTAATCTTGCCCAACTCCTGAGTGATTCTCGGGATCGAAATAAGCATCTGGGAGATGAAATCAAAGAACTTGAGCAGAGGCTGGGAGAAGTCCAAGGGGACAACAAGGTATTGTACAAGTTGCATTTGAAAGTAAAAAGGTTATAGCTTTTGAAGTAATCTAGTCTCTCATTCAATTTGCATAACCGCAACCAAAGACAGTTTTGCCTGCAGTTTTCCAGATTGTGATCTATTGCTATTTAAATTGGAAATATCCAAAAAGAATTGATAACATCTATGCAACTTTTGCACTGTGCCTTTCATAGTGCTGTGTATGTCTTTGTGGCAGTTGCTTAGTATTCAAAACTCATAAATCCCAGAATAAAAATAGCAGTCCCTTAAAATTAAAAAAATTAAAATTAAAAGTCCCTTATATTAAAAGGGTTTTAATATATTATATAATTATTATGCCACTTTTCTTGCAAAAGTGACCCAAAGCAACCTACAAAAGCAATAAAACTAGTGTGAAAAAAACAACCAATAAAAAATTAAAAACACAACTATACAGATAAAGACAACCCTTCCCCACTAACAGATGTCACAAATACTTGAAACTTTTCAAATTAAGGGCCAAAAGCCCAGGTTAAAAGGAAAATGTTTGCTATACTTCTTTGATCCTTTAAGGTAGACCCTTCACATTTTGGTTTGTATTACATTTCAGGAGGTCTTAAAACTTCTTCAAAAAGGCATTACATTTCCCCCCTAGAATTTTATCTGTTGACTCTCTAACAACTCATATCCGATTTGTAATCAAGTTCTTAATTGGCAGTTTTTCTACCCTAGTACTGTGTGGAATTCTCCCTCTTCAAACGCCTATTTCCTTTTGCAGAATATCATTTTATAGTTGGAGAATTCAAACAGCAGAGCTGATACTTTTGTATATGATATGATTCTGTTTCAAAGATTAAATGAGGAAAATATTAAAATGCAGTTGGTTCTGAGTGTCACAAACACTTCTGATGATACCTGAGAAAGAGTAAGTGGGCTTCCCTGGTTTGTTGTTTTCCTTCTCTCTTGAATGTAAGAAGCACTGGCTCCTGCCTCCATCTAAAGCTAATCTAAGAATTGTAAAGTGGATGCGGCCATAAACTCCCCCACCTGCTCCATTAATCCCCTACTGCAATTTGCAAAATAACTTCCTATATATTGTGATTTAAAAGCCAAATATTTAGAAGCTTGACATACCCTTTATACTGCTGCTTTGAGTTAATCATCGCTGGCTTTCATAGTTTTAATTAGTGTTTCATAATAAATTATCACTGGAAGGAGAGGCAGATCACTTTCTGTTGTGATTTAGTATTTTCTTTTACTAGAAAATTAGTATTTTCAGTAAGCGCAGGCACCATTTTAAAAGGTCCATTATATCAGGAATACATTCACATTTTGCTGCTTAAAAAGACAGATGGGAGGGTTCAAATATATACATATATATTACTTTTTTATTTTAAAACATTGCCTGCTAATCACCACTTTATAAATTCATTCCTAAATTTAGCAGTTTATATGGAACATTACTCGTAATTCTGGCACTTGGTATTAAACAAATGCCACTTGTTGGTGTTAACTAATATATATGAACTCAAATGCATTTAATAATCGTAGCTTTATCCATGTGCAAAGCGTTGAAAACCAGGATTTAATAGTGCAATCCAGAAAGTGCAAGATTAAGGAAAACAGGATTTTAAAGCAGAGCAGCAGCCTTCATGGCTGGACTGACCGGGGCTGATGGGAATTGTAATCTGGAATAGCTGGGGAAAAGGCTTCACTAGTGCACAGGCAACATAAAGTTCAACAGTTTAATACTCAAGTAGGGAAAGGGGTGAACATTGCTTCCAATCTGACCTGCAGAGGCTTCCCATCTACACCCCCCCCACTACCATGTTCCCTGAAGCACTGTATTTTAATTACATATATCAGCCACTGTCTCATCTCCTTCACAACCATGTGATCAGAGCAGAGGCTTTGGCAGAGTTCTCAGCTGCAGTCTCCTATGCCAGGGAAGCCAATACAAGGCATATGGGACAAAGTATCTGACGTGTCTAAAGAGGAGACCCTGGTCAAATTATTGTGTTGATGCTGAGAAGGAGAAATGTAAAGAGCCCCTTGTGTCTCAATCTGCATGGAAGAATGTTGCTGCTGAGCTTTTAGGCCTTGTTGTTGTTTAGTCGTTTAATTGCGTCCAACTCTTCGTGACCCCATGGACCAGAGCACACGAGGCACTCCTGTCTTCCACTGCCTCCCACAGTTTGGTCAAACTCATGATAATAGCTTCGAGAACACTGTCCAACCATCTCATCCTCTGTCGTCCCCTTCTCCTTGTGCCCTCCATCTTTCCCAACATCAGGGTCTTTTCCAGGGAGTCTTCTCTTCTCATGAGGTGGCCAAAGTATTGGAGCCTCAGCTTCACGATCTGTCCTTCCAGTGAGCACTCAGGGCTGATTTCCTGATAGGTTTGATCTTCTTGCAGTCCATGGGACTCTCAAGAGTCTCCTCCAGCACCATAATTCAAAAGCATCAATTCTTTGGCGATCAGCCTTCTTTATGGTCCAGCTCTCACTTCCATACATCACTACTGGGAAAACCATAGTTTTAACTATACAGACCTTTGTCAGCAAGGTGATATTTCACCTTTTAAGATGCTGTCTAGGCCTTAGTTCAAAATACCATCCTGTTTAAAATTCTTTGCTGCCATATTCCCAACAATATATGGAAGATTAGAGCCAGTAGCCTGGTTCACACGTAGCGAGACACTCTGGTTTGATTTTGGTTTGTTATAACTGGTTTGAACAAAGCACAGTTCCTCATATTCAGTCTAGCAAGAAACCAGTTTGTACCAAACTGCAATAGGAAGATTTAAACTTCCTCCCCTCTTGCATGAAGAAGGATGGTACAAGGTTGAGGCACATTGTGATGCAGTTGCTTATCTCTGTGAGTTGTTTGAGGATAAAATTGCTTGTTTCTGCTGGGAGCTCAGCTCCATTGTTATAGCAGATGAATTGCAAGAAGAGTCCAGATCACTGTCTAATCTAGTGTTTGACGTGAACAAGGCAGTTGGTTTGATCAGGGACACCACGTGCTCTTGATCTTTGCCCATTACGGCTGAATAAAACTAGTAAGGAAGGGATGGCTGGCTGGGCCAGGGAGGTGATGGATTTCTCCTTGCAGGGGGATGAGGTGCCTGTCTTATGGTAAGACCATAAGAAACCCTTGCAGAATTAAGAAAACCTAAATAACTATCAGCAGATTGCTAATGATCCTTCTTGAGCACTTGATTGTGGGCAGATCCCAGCTTTCTTGGAAAACTGATTTTCTAGAACCATTTCAATCAGGGTTTAGGCCTCATTTTGTTGGATGACTGTTTTCAGAGCGTAGTGCCTGGGCAGTCTTATTTAGCCCCATGTGGGGTGCCACAAGAATCCATTTTATCCCCCATGCTGCTTAACATCTACATGACACTGCTGAGTGGAATCACCAGGAGTTTTGGTGTGTGTTGTGAGCAATATGTGTGGCAATGGATGTGGTAAACCAACGTCTGGCCTCAGCAGTGAGCCAACAAACTGAAGCTTATTCCAGATCAGACTGAGGCACTGTTAGTGGGTTGTTTCCTAGACCACATGGGCTGGGCAGGGGCTGCTTTGAATGGGAGCTTACACGCCCTCTGAAGGTGCAGGTGCATAGCTTACGAGTACTTCTGGATTCACTACTATTGCAGTGGTGTAAAGTGCCTTTCATCATTCATTCAGTCATTCAGTCATTCATTCTATTCGTATGGTGCTTTTCTGCACAGAAAAAAATTACACTCAATACAGCTTGCAACAAAGAAAACAGGAATAAATTTCAAGCAAACACTACAAAAACAATTTCGTAATGAAAACAAAACAATAACGTAATAACAGTTTCACAATAACATTGCCAAACGATAGCAAATATAATAATATACAAACAACCACATTTGAATGTCCGTTAGCAAAAATAACAAGGGAGGTTCACAGTTTCACCTTATTCCTCCCAGGATGTTGCTGGTGGCCCAGCTATGCCCCAACAGAGCCTCGCTTCTGTTGTTTATGCTCTGTAACTTCTAGTTAGATTATTGGAATGTGTTATACATGGAGTTGCCTTTGAAGACAGTTTGGAAACAGCAGCTGGTGCAGAATTCAGTGGCCAGGTTGCTGAATGGGACAATGCGGCAGAAATCCATTGGCAATTAGTTACTGAAGTCAATTCAAAGTGTTGATTTTGACCTATAAATACTCAAGGCCTTTATACCATAAGGACCACCACACTCCTTGAGAACCAACCCTGAACTTGTGTTTGTCATCTGTTGCCCTTCTCCTTCTCCAAAGAAAGTGTGGAAGTTGGTAACATGAGAATGGTGTTCTCAGTGGTAACTTCGTGCTTGTGAATTGCTTTCCCATGGAGGTATGCCTGACTCACCGTTATTTATTTTTAGGACCCAGGAGAAAACATTTTTATTCACTTAGGCTTTAGAGCCTTAATTTAGAGGGTATTGGGTCTATCCGTGGCCTCCTTTTTGCTCATCTTTTTAGTGAGGTAGGTTGAGTTAGATCTGCCCTTTTATATGTATTACGGATGGGCATCTTAGGTTCCTATTACTGTTTTTATATTTAGTTTTAATGTTGCTTCTGTTTTTGTGTGAAAAAAGCATCAAATAAATAATACAACAACAACAATAGGAAACCACTGTTTCCCAATAGGTCTGAACAAGATGAATGCTTTAGCTTACAGTGGCTAAATTTATCATAGGCCTGCTGTGCAGCACTTTTATAGAATTAAAAGAAACATGTAATGTTCAGTAATGAATTGCTTTCTGTGGTGGTAGTTTTAATATTTGCCAGTATCTCACATGTACAAGATTTGTGCACATTCCTTTTTCTCTGCAGAGTGTTCTGTTTAGAAAATCTTTCAAACTGAGAGTCCCAGCATGAGTTAAAACCTTGTTTGTTTACACTGGCATTAATCCTCAAGCTGAAACACAGTGATGCCCCATTTGCATTCATGGATTCAACTCCAAGGATTGTAGCTAGGAGCTGGGTTTGCACATCACAGTA